TGTATGCACCTCCTCAAGAGTTTCCCTCCATTCTCCTTCATTCTGTTTCAAGGGTCTTAACAGCAGCATGTTCACTTTATAACAGAAAAACAATTCACTCTATTTCTTCACAATATTTTAATTAATTCCAGATTAGTTAATGATGTGGAAGTAGAGAAAATTGGCTGGGGCTTCCTGAGAGCATTGTATTAATTAAAATTTATAAGCCGCAAGATGGTTAGATAATAGATGTTGTAGATGTAGAAAATATAAACACATTAATGATTTTTTTCCATTTTAAATTCTACACATTATGGTAAATATGTGATTTTATTTTTTAAGAGCAATTTAAATGTATTTCAATGGCATGTTCACCATCATAAAGTAGAAGTTACTAATTTCATTGAAGGAGAAAATGTAACTTAAGGTATAAAAAATCATTATACCACTAAAATTTTATTTAGTCCAAAAATGTTGTGATGCTCTCTCTCACTTTATTAAACCAAATCTATCTTCTCCAGCTTCTATCTGTTCCTCTTAATATAAGCATAGAGGGTATACAATCTGAGTGTTCCATACATAGAGTTCAACTGATAATCCATCCCATCAATATATTTATATAATCAATTGGAGTTCTAGTTTTCATTATATCACCTTTAGGGCTTTTAATATTATAGCCATTTAATGTTTAATACTATATTGCTGACCTATTCATGACTGGGTAATAAAAAGTGATTAACTGAAAGTCGACTGATTTTGGTTCTATTCTATGCTACTTTGCTATTTCTTTTGAAGTTCATTTGTTTCATTGTCTCTATAGGCCTTGTTTTTTAACGGAAAAATGGATGCATATGACAAAAGACATCCTTCATCACACATAATTTTTCTACTACCATAATTATTAATTCTTACACCCTCCTCTCTGGACGCAAATTCTTCTTCCAGTTTACTTTTCCATTATTCCTACTTTGATTATTCAGTGATCTTATGAGATCCCTTCTCTCTACTCTGAAGCTGGAGTTACCTTTTTGAAAAAAAATCCAATTATGTCACCTTCCTGTTTATGACAATTAAACGGTTTCCTTCATTGCTTTCAGTATAAATCAAAGCTCCTAACATAATCTACAAAGGGATCATCTTGTCCCTCCACGTTTTCCAGCTCCTTTTGTCCCCATACTCCACCTCCCTCTTTCTACGACAGCCACACTGGCCTTTCCTCAGCCCCTTGTCCTCCCCCTGCCCCTTCCAGTCATTCTGCCTGTACATATGAAGTTCCCTCTGCCTGGAATGCTCTTCCCTTCCTTTCTTAGTTAAACTTATTTATCCTTCTGATTTTAGCTCGCTTGTCACTTCCTCAGAGATGACTTTGCTAATCACCCTAACTAGATCTAATCTCATATTATAAACTCCCTTAGTACCATGCTCCTCTCTTTTTTTGCACTTATAATTACAATTTTATATAAAGTCATATAATTATTTATGTCTATTTTCCCTAGAATATAAATTCTCCTTTGTCTAAATGTACTCACCAAATCGTCACATGGGCATGCTGCAGGTACTCTGTAAATATTTCTTAATTGAAAATACAATAAAGTTCCTTGAGTTTTCTCAAGATAAAGACATTACAAAATCTTTAAAGTATTTCCTGTAATACACAAAATGTAATATATTCATCGAAAATATAGGTGTAACTGGAGAGATTTTTTCATAGAGTAGAATCATTCCCTATGTCCCTTATTCTTCAGCTTTATCTTCTTTTCTTTGATTTTACTTGTGATCTGAACATAGAAGCTTTGATGATGAATGTGAATAGAATTCCTTAATAAGAATCTGCTCTCAGATTAACACTGAGAAATAATGCAATTTCTATTTTTATAATATCGTCGTCTTACTGTTCATTAGCATTAATATGAATATTGTATACTAATACCAGAAAATTCAATATGTCTATGCTTTTTTGTGTATCTATGTTTTCTATTATTTTATTACCATAGATATTAGCAAATATTGCATTTCCTGTAAGGAATATTAACTCTTAAAGTACTTATAATTTCATAGATAGAAATATGGAAAATGGATCCTGATGGAAAGTTCATTTAAATCTACAAATATTATCTGTTTTGTAGGTGAAATTATTTTAAAGTGTTAGATGAGTAACAGGAATGCAAAATAATTTTAATCTTCAGAAGACCATTAATGTGAAATAGTAACGAGCACTGTACGGGGCTAACAGCGCAAGAAAGAGAATAGGGTTTTACAAATGACCTATCTTACTTTCTTAGCAAAGGCATCCCCAGCCATCAGATCACACCCATGCAGCTGAATCAATGCAGGCTGTGGCCCTGCGAACACTGTATGAGGGGATTGGACAAAGATATAAACAGTGATCCAGTGCAAGTCTTGTTGCTAAGGAATGAGGCTCTCAGTCAAATAGTAAAATTTTAGAGTGAAAGAAGCATAAAATATTATTGAGTTCAAATCCATTATTATATACATGGGGGAAACCAGAGTTACAAGGGGACAAATCATTTGTCTAAGGCCACAGATCCAGTTGAAAGCACAACCAAGAGTGAAAGTTGGATCTCTTAGTGTACAGTTATTTCCAGCACATTATGTTGTCTGATCACATAAATTGTCTGAGATTCTCTAGGAAAAAGAATCTAAGCAATAAATTCCAGGTACAGATAACTTTGGTAACTAGAGAATCCACAAACATTTCTGCAATAACAATGCATACCAAATCTTAATAGCTAGAAAATATTAATATAAACAAGTAACTATTACCCTCTGGACACTTAGCATCCTTTAAATTTCTCAAATGCACATAAGAAACATTAACAAAACTTATTTCCTCAATAACAATGTTTCCGTGTCACTACATCTCTTTCCGGAGTTAAAAATGCCAATGTAGGCTGTTAGGTAATAATTTCCATTTATAAAATTCTGGCAATTCTTTGCAGAAATGGATATTAAACACAGAAATTCATAGTATGACACTGTATCAGTGGCATGTTCGTAAACCAGATTTCCAATAAAATACAATTTAAAATAAAGCTCTGATTTGTAGGATATGCTGATTCTTGTGTTATAAATACTCTCACTATGGCCAATTTCAAGCTACCAAGTTTGTTAACAAACGACTCACAAAATTTTTGAGTATTTTACAATTGGCTCCAGGGTGTCAGTCAGAGGCAGCTCCCGCACTCCACTGATACAAGGAAACCTAGAAACCACCAAACTCCACCACCCACTCTTTTAATAAAGAGGAAACCAAGGCTCAAAAGGAGAAAGTAATCTGCCTCAAGATCATACAGTTGGTGAGCAGGTTTTAGTACTCAGGATTCACCTTAACCACCCACATGAATTAAGTGAAATTTTATGCAGTAGAAATAGTCAGTGCTCTTTGTGACTGTAGAGAGAAGTACTTTTCAAAAGAGCCTGTTGGAAATGCATATTTTGGGGCTCCACCCCAGACCAAGTGAATCATAATATCTTGGGCCTGGAAATCTGTTTCAACAAGCTCTACAAGTGGTATAGAGCAATGGGAAAGAACCTTTCCTCATTATCCACCGATATTTTTTATGAATGAGATTTAAATATGAATCAAAGGTAATAGCTATTCTTATTGCATCAGCATCCATTAAAAGGGAGCGACTTCATCTGAACCCTCTGTCATAAAGCCTACAATCTCTCACATTTCCAAAGACCTTGCTTTTCAAAAAAGAATTTAGATTTTTCCAACAACAAGAAAAATTTAGTGATTTATCTTCAAATTCTCAACCTCAATATTCTATAGAACAAAACCTAACATGTATTTGCCTGTCTTAGCTCTGCCATTTTTTACATTTTTAAAATAACTTCTTTTAAATCAATATTTATCTTTCAAGGTTCTGCCTTGCCTCCTTCACAAATCAAGGCACCCCTACCCTAATCTACCTACTGCCTTGTCAACTGATTATATGGTTATGTATGTGTGTTTTAGTTTATCTGCCACTTTCTGTTGTTTTGATATGTACTGCCAATCTCACATTTCACAACAAAGGCAAATAAATATTGTCAGCTTTATTTTCCTCTTTCAGTATTTTAGAGGTTGGAAAATTTACAAAATAAATATCCTCGCAACTTTCTTTCAAAAGCATTGCAAAAGACAAAAAGAACAATTGAGTAATAGTTTCCTAAAATTTAAAAACACCCAGAGAAGGCACAATCGAATGACAAATATCTGTACTGATATTACTTTGAAAATAATCAGAAATAATCCAAAAATATAGGTCTATGATTCTTAATTCATTACTCATTTTTAAATTTTATTTGTAGGGTAAACTTAAATATGTTTAATTTATTTGCACAGAAATAAGAAAAATATTGACATAAGTGTTGGTAGATAATAGATTAACAGAAACATTTTGCAAGGGATGTAATCGTTGCCACGCTTCCTAGCAAATATAAACCTACTTATTTAGTGTGGTTCTTGGCCTTGGTGGGAGATAGCTTCACTGGACTTGGCTGCAGATATTTTCAAGGAAACTAGAGGATTAGCATTATACTTCTCCAATTACCTGGTCCTGGCTGAACCTACATTTACCACACACTAGTCAGAAAAACTTTGAAACACAAGAGGTAATCATCCTGAAATCTACCACTTCTGAGTTTTTGAGATTCCTTTCATTAGTACTTCTCAAAAGCAGCTTTTTCTCATGAGATTTATCATAGACTCCACCAGACCATGGCTTGAGAGCACAACTCTGTCATTGGCCTTCATCTTTCAGGTCAATGTATGCAAATCAGCCGGCACTTCCATGTATATCTGCTCAAGTATCTCCACTTCTACAACAAAAATTAGACAAATTCCACTCCCTAAGATAAACTACAATCAAATGTCAAATTTAAGTCCTTTTTGTAAAGAACAGTCTTCCTCACTGAGACACCAATGAATGGGCACATTGGGTACATTAACAAGTCCCGCCCATGTAGGTAAGAACGTGAGCTAGAAACAGCTCAGAGAGCAGACGGACACTTACGGTTGGCACAGCTTGATTAGGTCCTGGTCAGTAGTGCCTGGCGGGAGGCCTCGAATGTACAGGTTGGTTTTACTCAACTGTTCCCCGCTGCTGTTGTTGCTGCTGTTGTTGCTGCTGCTGTTTGTGCTGGGGCTGGGAGGAGCCATGGGGTGGGGAGCTGGTGCATAGGACTGCTGGAAACAGAAAAAGCTGTTACTGGAAAAACAAAAGCCAGCACCTGCTCACAGGCCAGCAGCACAACTCGAAAGCAATGTAAGCTTCTTGTCTTCTCCAATACATGTACACACGCACACCACACACACACACACACACACGCACGCAAACACACACACACATTTATATCAGTGCGCTGTGCTGCATCTGAGACCATCATTTACTTTTTCCCCCAGCCCTCCATTTTGACCAGCACAAGTCAGCCATAAATGGGACAAAAAGAAGTTATCAGGTGCTCCTAGTAGTAGCATACGGCTTTCGAATTTGTCCCTAGACACAGTGACTCTCCTCAGACCTGTAAAGTAGCATATCTCCCTAATAGAATAAAACAGTTCATTCTTGGCATCAAAGCTCTGCCCCTAGCTTACCTTTAATAGCAAGCATCTTTGGTTTGCCTCTACTCTTTGGTCCCTCCTTTTCTCCAAACTTCCTCATAGTGTTTTCCTCACCATTACTGTCCAGCACAATTCCTGATACACAGAAATCATTCTATAAATAGTGATTCTATGAATGATTGAGTGCATGAATCCATCTTAGCTCCTTCCTCCATCCTCAAAACTGCTTCTTCATGTTGAATACCCCTTGTTTGCAAGACTGAGCCAGCATTCTCTCCTTACCGTCAAAATTCTCTTTAAATTACTCTAATCCAGGCTCTCAACCTAGGCACTATGGATCACCTGGATAGGATAACTCTTTGTTGTTGTGGGAGCTCACCTGTTCATTGTAGGATAGCCCTTACCTATCATATTCCAGTAGCGCCCATCTCCCAGTTGCAATGGCCAAAAATACATTAACATTGCCAAATGTTCCCTGGTGGCGAGAGGGATCTCTCCCATTAGAGAGCCACTGTTTTAATGAGTCACACCATTATGCGGCAAAATGATAATGATAAAATGACTCCCATAAAATTGGAATATACAATGTGAGTATGTTTATGATTACAAATGTCAGAATTAGTGTATATATTTACTCATTAGGCTTATTTCTTTTTGATACAGGCTTATCTTCGAAAATTCCCAACTTACACTGAAGGCCTGGGCTGGGTGCCTGCTGTGTCACTTATTGGCTATGTGACCTTTAAATGGTGCCTTAACCTCTCAGAGGCAGCATTCTCATCAATATAAAGAGGATAATAATAATACTCTCCTATGTTAAAAGACATTTTTAAAAACTTGAGTTAATGCAAACAAAATGGTCCCTGGAAATTAGTAAGTGTACAATAAATATCAGCAAGAATAACAATAATGTTAATATTTATGGTTTGTATCTGTCTTGTCAATGATATTAGCCTATATAAAGCTATCCTAAATTTTCTCAGTTGTAACCCTGAATGTTACCCATAGGCACAATGTGCACAGTCATCAAGATTCCACTGGGGAAACTTTTGGCTGGGTCTAACCTGAAGACTCATCAGCTGTTTTATCAAGGTTGGGAGGTGTGTACTTGTCAAACAGCAAGTTTTGGGCACAATAGCAAAAAAGTATTTACTTAGATGAGGTTAAACTACAAAACCTTTTGTGCCATGGAACAAAGCTAAGAGATAATATGATAATTTAAGGGAAGAAAATGAAGAAAAACAATGTGCTCTGTGCCTCTACAATCTCATTCTAAAAAAAAAAAAAAAAACATAGGAAACATAACCAACATGTAAATAGTACAGACTTTTCATTCCAAAACTGTGTACTTCAGCCCAAATTGTCAGGCCTACTGGGTCCAGGTAAATAATGGCACATTCTGGAAATAGAGCTAAAATGTGGCCTTAATCATAGAAAGCTGAACTTATTAGATAGGATCCAGCAGTGGCTTCCCACTGGACTTATTAAAAAGTCCTGAAAGCCCCATATGATTTTTTTCTGACTTTTTCTCCAATCACTTATTGGGCCAGACCCAACTGGACTCCCAACTTTCCACCCTTCCCATTCTGAGCCCAACTCTACTTGTTTGGCTCTAATCCGTCCTTCTGATTTCAAATTAAGTATCACCCTACAGCATTCTTTTATTTTCCTTCACAGGTTTCAGCATATTTGGTCTTTATTATTAAATGTGTTTTTGGCTTACTTAACGCCTATTTCTAGCACTAATCTGAATGTTCTCTGACAGCAGGGAATGTGTCAACCCTTACAGGAATAGCACCTAGGCTAGTGCCTGATACACAGGAGATCCTTAAAAAATATTTAGGCTACATCGTGTACAATAAAAGTGGAATAAACACAGCATGTGACCTATAGAGACAAGAGGCCAAGTTTTAGCAGTTCTCAGCCTTGTTTCTTGCTATAATAGTCTTTTTTACATGTTCCAGGATTTCAGATTTGCCCAATCCCTATTTCCACCTGGCTATATGACAAGGCTTCTTAGATTCAGTATATCAAAGTAAAACTCATTACACCTGTTTTCTTGTTTCCCAGTTTCCCACACCAGCCACCCAGCACAATTAACCAATTTCTTTCAATGTTTTGTGTCATTATTCCGGCCTTCATGCTAAGAAACTTGGTGCTAGATTCATCTGTTTCCTAATCCTAAATCTCAGAATACGGTCAGCCACTGAGATTCCTGACAGGCTCCTAGAATCATCTGTTCCTCTGGATTCCCATTGTTTCCCTAAGCCAGAGTCGTACCACTTCATATATAAAGGGCTTCAAGCTGTCTACCATGTTTCCCCGTTTGTGCTTCTCATTGATTGCAGAGTGGGTAGAGGATAAGACAGAACTACCCAATGTAAACACAAACTGGCCAAGAATTAAGGGATGGGGAAGTGAAAGAGCAGACGTGCCAGGGACAAAACCCAGAGCCTCTGACTCCTTTCTTTGAAATAAACATTTTTCTCAACCATTTCTTTAGTTTTATTACTTAATTTAGTCTCAACATTTTAATGTAGAATTTTAAAATGAATTACACAGAAGAATACTTTCTTTTCCTAATATTTGAATTAAATGGAATATATTCATTGACTTTTGGAATTTATTAACAATATCTGCATAAAGCTCAAGTATCTTTGCAGGCATGAAAAGCTATGACTTACTTCCTAACATAAAGTATTCTGTTTCTCTGCTTGGAATCCCCACAACATTTGAGCTTTACCTCTTTTACAAGCCCTGCACACAGTAGGTGTTCAGTACATGCTTCCTTGCTGGAGTGGCTTCCTGGTCTCTCTGACAGTGGGTCAGAGGGAATTTCTCTTTTACTTCCCTTATGAGCTTTATTCTCTTAAAATTCCCAGGGCCTTTTTAAAGCTGTTAGCTACCACTTTCACCTCCCTTCTCTTTGAATTTTTTGAATTCCATTCTGTATCAGTTTCTTTTAAAATGAGACTTTGTTTAAAGCAGTTTTTCCCATTGCATAGCCTTTAAAACCACCAGGGAGCCAGAAAAATGTCTCCAGCTTTATGTAGCACAGATTAGATGGACCAGTTCAGACTGAGTCCTTGACTGATCAAATAAGAAAGCACCCGCTACGGGATGATCAATATGTGTTTACTTAATTCTTTTCTTCCCCCAGGGCTCTTTGTGAGCATTTCCATAACCAGAACACCATTTAGCAAATTGCATGATGCCTAAAACAATAAATGTGTCCTTCAAAGGACCCAACAAATTCACTGGGAAAAAAAATTAAACAAAATAATCAGAAGCAAACCAAAGTTGGGATGAGAATAGGAAACTTGTGTGCATGAAAATGAGATATGTAATTTATAAATAGGAGCAGAAACACCAGACTTGTGGAGAAAGTGTGTATTTCAGAAGCCTTTTGAAAAAAAATACACACTCAAAAGTGGTTTTATTGTGTCACATTCTTGCTTGTGAATTTTAGAAATTCTGCCGAAAGAGGTAGATTTTTCTCAGTGTTATTGAACGAAATCAATCCACAGATTTTAGCACCCAGTGTGGGAACTCTTCCTAACCTTTAATATTTCATTTATCTGTTGATGATGCACTGATTGATTCAGGTAGCAGTCAGCATTGTAAATCATTCCTTGGTCTTAAGAATTATAAATTCCTTCCTCTTCACCCATTTTCAAAATACACATCCTTTAATCAAGAAAATGTTGGCAGAAGGTTCCCGGAATGCCTGACAAATGCACAGGCCTAAATGAATTAATTTGTGAAAAGCAGAAGTGATTTTGTATGCTCTGGCTGCCAAAGACAGATGACCAAACTACAGCATCTTAAAAAAAAAAAAAAGGAGTGTCAATAATCTCTAGGGGTTAATGGGTCACAGCACCCACTTTCCTGATTAAAGTGGCTCTCTGCTTCCTTTCTCAATTCTTTGTCTTTAGATGGTTTGGAATTTTATCATTGATTAGCTTTTAAATCATTTTCAGACACCGAGGAAGGAATTTTAAAATGTTAGTAAAGAAAAATATTTTCCTTCAGATAAAATTGACTTAGCTATATTGCTCAAAGTCACACTATATAAATCCTATTTAGGAGTAGGGAGTACTTACGATCTAGGGTTACTGAACTCTGTAACACTGCTATAACAGGGCAAGGGGTTGCTATGAATTTGCAACGTCAGCTTGGTTAGAAGCAGAAGAACTAGCAGATTTGCAGAAGGGGGCTTTAGATGACACTCTCATTGAAGGAGAGAGACACAGGGCTTCTCTTGAAGCCACATTTTCTTGGTTAGTATGCAGATTTTTCTTAGACGTTTATTCATGGTGGCATGGCTGGGAGGTTCTGTTAGGGATTATGGAATATGGACTAGAGCCCCTTAACCACACATCAGGGCTGCTAAATCAGAGGTTCAGGACCCGTGTCCTCTTTAGGAAATGAAATAAAATGACTTGGAATCCATTTTGGAATATGCTATTCCTAAAACAGTAATTCTAATGATCATAGGTAACATTTGTTGTGTGCTTGCTAAGCATTTTAGCCCAATGAGGCAAATAATACTCCTCTCATTTCACAAATGAGGAAACTAAGGCACAAAAAGGTAAATGACCTTTGCAAGGTTATACAGCTGGAGC